TCCCACCTGGTCATGGTGGATAATTTTTCTGGTGTATTGCTGGATTCGATTTGCTAGTATTTTGTTCAGGATTTTGGCATCTATGTTCATCAGGGATATTGGCCTGTAGTTTTCTTTCTTTGTTGTGTCTTTTTCTGGTTTTGGAATTAGAGTTATGCTGGCTTCATAAAACGAGTTTGGCAGTCTTCCTTCTTCTTGAATTTTTTGAAATAGTTTGAGGAGAATGGGTATTAGTTCTTCTTTGAATGTTCGGTAAAACTCCCCTGTGAAGCCATCTGGGCCTGGGCTTTTGTTTGCTGGAAGAGTCTTGATTACATCTTCAATTTCCTCTGTTGTTATTGGTCTGTTCAAGTTTTCAATCTCTATCTGATCCAATTTTGGGAGGCTATGTGTTTCTAAAAATTTGTCCATTTCGCTTAGATTTTCGAATTTGTTGCCGTATAATTTTTCATAGTAGTTGTTAACGATCTTTTGTATTTCTGTAGGGTCAGTTGTTATCTCTCCTGTTTCATTTCTGATTTTATGTATTTGGGTTCTCTCTCTTTGTTTCTTGGTGAGTCTAGCTAAGGGTCCATCAATCTTGTTTATCTTTTCAAAAAACCAGCTCTTTGTTTTATTGATCCTCTGGATTGTTTTTTTGGTCTCTATGTTGTTTATTTCTGCTCTGATCCTTACTATTTCTTTTCTTCTGCTTGCTCTGGGGTTTTCTTTTTGTTTACTCTCTAGTTCTTTAAGTTGTGAGGTTAGGTAGTCTATTAGAGATTTTTCTTCTTTTTTGAGGTAGGCCTGTAGTGCTATAAACTTCCCTCTCAGAACTGCTTTTGCTGCATCCCATAGATTTTGTATTGTTGTGTCCTCATTTTCATTGGTTTCCAGGAAGTTTTTGATTTCTTCCTTGAATTCCTCGGTGACCCATTCATTGTTTAATAACATTCTATTTAGCTTCCATGTGTTAAAATGTCTTTGTATGTTCTTCTTGCAATTGATTTCTAGTTTCATACCATTGTGGTCTGAGAAGATGCTTGTTATAATTTCAATCTTCTTGAACTTGTAGAGACTTAGTTTGTGCCCTAACATGTGGTCTATCTTTGAGAATGTTCCATGTGCACTTGAGAAGAATGTGAATTCTGTAGTTTTGGGGTGTAGTTCTCTGTAGATATCTATTAAATCCATTTGGTCTAGTGCTTCATTTAGAGTCTCTGTTTCCTTGCTAATTTTTTGTCTAGAGGATCTATCCAGTGATGTGAGCGGGGTGTTGAAGTCCCCTGTTATGATTGTATTGCTATCGATTTCTCCTTTGAAGTCCTCCAGAAGATTTTTAATATATTTTGGTGCTCCTATATTGGGTGCATATATGTTTATCACTGTTATATCTTCCTGTTGGATAGATCCTTTCAATATTATGTAGTGGGCTTCTTTGTCTCTAGTTATGGCCTTCAATCTGAAGTCTATTTTATCAGATATCAGTATTGCTACCCCAGCTTTTTTTCTTTTCCATTTGCTTGAAAGATTTTTTTCCATCCCTTCACTTTCAATCTGTGTGAGTCTTTTGTTGTGAGGTGGGTTTCTTGTAAACAGCATATAGATGAGTCTTGCTTTCTTATCCAATCAGCTACTCTGTGTCTTTTTATGGGAGCATTCAGTCCATTTACATTTAAGGTGGTTATTGATATGTACTTATTTATTGCCATTTTGTTTAGTGTGGTTCTATTTTTATTCCCATTTCTCCTGGTAATTACAGCAGTCCTTTTAACATTTCTTGCAGTGCTGGTTTGGTGCTAATGTACTCCCTTAGCCTTATTTTGTCTGGGAAGCTCTTTATTTGACCTTCTATTTGAACGATAGCCTTGCTGGGTAGAGTAGTCTTGGATTCAGATCCTTGTTTTTCATGACCTTGATTACTTCATGCCATTCCCTTCGAGCCTGTAATGTTTCTTGTGAGAAGTCAGCTGAGAGCCTTATGGGGGTTCCTTTGTAGGTAACCTGTTGCTTATCTCCTGCTGCTTTTAGGATTCTCTCTTTGTCTTGAATTTTTGGCAGTTTGATTACTATGTGTCTTGGTGTGGGCCTGTTTGGGTTCTTCTTACTTGGGGCTCTCTGAGCTTCTTGAACTTGAATGCCTTCTTCCTTCACCAAATTAGGGAAGTTTTCTGTCACTATTTCTTTGAATATATTCTCTAGCCCTCGCTTACTTTCTTCTTCTTCAGGGACTCCTATGATACGAATATTATTACGTTTCCAGTTGTCCCACAATTCTCTTAAGCTCTCTTCTTGTTTCTTAATCTTTTTTTCCTTTTGGTTTTCTGATTGGTTGATTTCTTCTAGCCTGTCTTCTAATTCACTGATCCGGTCCTCAGCTTCCCCTACTCTGCTTTTTAGACCTTCCAGTGTGTTTTTCATTTCTGATATGTCATTCTTCATTTCTTCCTGTTGGTTTTCATTTCCAGATGGTTTATTTTCAACATTTCTATGTCTTTACTCATGTTGCTCATGTCCTTACACATGCTGTTGAGCTTCCGCAACATCATGGCTCTAAATTCTAGTTCTGTTAACTTGCTTAACTGCACCTCATTTATTTCATCTTCTGTAGAGGTCTCTTGATCTTTCATTTTGCTTTTGTTTCTGTTTCTCACCATTTTGGTTATCACAGTGGGCTTTGGAGTCTGCCAAGTTTTCCCAGTGGGTGTTCGTGTTTTGCTGTTTGTGGCTCCCTCTCCTGGGTTTGGATGCACCAGGGAGGACCCACTTTAATCCCGCCAAGTCCCCTGTTCTCCGGGAGTCTGTGTGGCTCCAGCGGAGAGTTTAGCAGGCTATAGCGTTAGGAGGGCCCATGCAGGGTGGCAAGGGAGGTGGTGGGAATAATTTCCAGCCAAGTTCCCTGGTCCCGCCCAGTTCCCTGGGGGCCGTGAGTCCGTGGGGCTTCAGCGGCTGCAGAGTTTGCAGGGCCGTGCACGGCGGGGAGGGAGGTGGTAGAATTAATTTTCCGCCACGTTTGCAGGTCCCACCGAGTTGCCTGGGGGCCAGGAGTCGGTGTGGCTTCAGCGGAGAGCCTAGCCTAGCCGGCTACAGGGTTTCCAGGCCGTGCACGGCGGGGGGGGAGGCAGTAGACTTAATTTTCCACCGCGTTCCCCGGTCCCACCGAGTTGCCTGGGGGCCAGGAGTCTGTGCGGCTTCAGCGGCTACAGGGCCTTGCACGGCAGGAGGAGAGGCAGTGGAATTAATTTTCCGCCTAGTTCCCCGGTCCCTCCGAGTTCCCTGGTCCCGCCCAGTTCCTTGGGGGCCAGGAGTCTGTGCGGCTCCAGCGGAGAGCCTAGCCTAGCCGGCTGCAGAGTTTCCAAGGCCGTGCATGGCAGGGAGGGAGGCGGTAGAGTTAACTCTCCACCACGTTCCCCGGTCCCACCGAGTTGCCTGGGGTCTGCGAGTCTGTGCGGCTTCAGCAGAGAGCCTAGCCTAGCCAGCTGCGAGTCTGTGCGGCTCCAGCGGAGAGCCTAGCCTAGCCTAGCCGGCTGCAGAGTTTCCAAGGCCGTGCACGGCAGGGAGGGAGGCGGTAGCGTTAACTCTCCACCGCGTTCCCCGGTCCCACCGATTTGCCTGGGGTCTGCAAGTCTGTGTGGCTTCAGCAGAGAGCCTAGCCGGCTGCGAGTCTGTGCGGCTCCAGCGGAGAGCCTAGCCTAGCCTAGCCGGCTGCAGAGTTTCCAAGGCCGTGCACGGCAGGGTGGGAGGCGGTAGCGTTAACTCTCCACCGCGTTCCCCGGTCCCACCGATTTGCCTGGGGTCTGCGAGTCTGTGCGGCTTCAGCAGAGAGCCTAGCCTAGCCGGCTGCGAGTCTGTGCGGCTCCAGCGGAGAGCCTAGCCTAGCCTAGCCGGCTGCAGAGTTTCCAAGGCCGTGCACGGCAGGGAGGGAGGCGGTAGCGTTAACTCTCCACCGCGTTCCCCGGTCCCACCGATTTGCCTGGGGTCTGCGAGTCTGTGCGGCTTCAGCAGAGAGCCTAGCCTAGCCGGCTGCGAGTCTGTGCGGCTCCAGCGGAGAGCCTAGCCTAGCCTAGCCGGCTGCAGAGTTTCCAAGGCCGTGCACGGCAGGGAGGGAGGCGGTAGCGTTAACTCTCCACCGCGTTCCCCGGTCCCACCGATTTGCCTGGGGTCTGCGAGTCTGTGCGGCTTCAGCAGAGAGCCTAGCCTAGCTGGCTGCGAGTCTGTGCGGCTCCAGCGGAGAGCCTAGCCTAGCCTAGCCGGCTGCAGAGTTTCCAAGGCTGTGCACGGCAGGGAGGGAGGCGGTAGCGTTAACTCTCCACCGCGTTCCCCAGTCCCACCGATTTGCCTGGGGTCTGCGAGTCTGTGCGGCTTCAGCAGAGAGCCTAGCCTAGCCGGCTGCGAGTCTGTGCGGCTCCAGCGGAGAGCCTAGCCTAGCCTAGCCGGCTGCAGAGTTTCCAAGGCCGTGCACGGCAGGGAGGGAGGCGGTAGCGTTAACTCTCCACCGCGTTACCCGGTCCCACCGATTTGCCTGGGGTCTGCGAGTCTGTGTGGCTTCCGCAGAGAGCCTAGCCTAGCCGGCAACAGGGTTTCCAGGCCGTGCACGGTGGAAAGAAAGACTGTAGAGTTAACTTCCCATCTAGTTCCCTGGCCCCTGCCCAGGCCGCTGCGGACCCTGGGCTCTTGGTCCCCTCTCCCGTCCTCGCAAGCCTACCAGGACTGAGTGGGTGTTTCTGGTTAAGTGGTCCTCCAAGGTGTCCTTCAGCTGCCCTTTCCTGACGGTTTGCCTTTGTTTTCGTTGTAAATCCAGTTTGGTCTTGGGAGACGGTCTGGGTCCCTCCATTCACTTCGCCGCCATTTTTTCCTCCTCCAAACATGTTATTTATATAAATATTTATCTTCCAAAAGTTTAGCATAGTAAAATACACATACCATAAAATTTCCCATCTTGTTTTTACACCTACAGTGCTCTCCTGCAGTAATTGGATCTTGAGTGTTGCATCTGTGTGTGGGCTTTCCTCTAAGTCTGGCTAACTGTAAGGCTTAGCCACAACCTCATTGTGTAAGCAAGCTATTGTACAGGTGCTGACAGGGAACAAGAATATACACAAAAAGAAAGAAAGAAAAAGATAACAATACAGTAAAATAAAATATAAAAACAAAACCTGAAGAGAAATGGGGCAGAAAAAAAGATTTTGAAAGGAAAGGAGAGCAAAAAATAATAGTAGAGAGTAGGAAAAAAAACAATAAAGTAAGAAGAGGGAAATAATTTAAAAAAAAAGTCATGCCAAGGTAAAAAGAAGAGAAAAAGAAAGGTAAAGCAAAAGAAAGATGTGGAGCCTGCGTAGTTTGGCTCAGCAGTTAGAGCATTGGCCTGAAGTCCAGAGAGGCCCGGGTTCAATTCTTGCTAGGGGCACGTACCTTGGTTACCATTTGTCCCTGGCTCTGATTGGGTTGTGTGTCCCTCTCATGTCGATGTTTCTCTCTCTCTCTCTTCCTCACTCTCCATTCCACTCTATCTGAACAAAAAATATCCTCAGGTGAGGAAAAAAAGAAAAAAAAATTAAGATTTTAATTTTTTGAGGAAACACCATATTGTTTTCCATAGTAGCTGCACCAGTTTGCATTCCCACCAGCAGTGTGCTAGAGTCCCCTTTTCTCCACACCCTCAGCTGCACTTGTGTGATGATTTGTTGATAACCATTCTGGCAGGTGTGAGGTGATTGATACTCATAGTTGTTTTAATTTGCATATCTCTGATTAGTGATGTTGAGCATTTCTTCATATATCTCTTGGCCATTTGTATGTCCTTTTTGGAGAGGTGTCTATTAAGATCCTTGGCCCACTTTTTTTTTGTAATCCTTACCCAAGGACATTTTTCCATTTTTTGTTCATATAGAGTGGGAGAGAGAGAGAGAGAAACATTGACATGAAAGGGACACCAAGTGGCTGCCACCAGAATGACCCAACCAGGGCTGGGGACAAAACTGCAACCGAAGTACATGCTATGAGCGGGAACTGAACCTGGGTTTCTCTGAACCGCGGTCAATACTCTAACCTCTGAGCCAAACTGGCAGGGCCTCTGCCCACTTTTTAATTGGATTTTCTTTTGTTGAACTGTATGAGTAATTTATTTATTTTTGATATCACCTTTTTATCTGATGTATCATTGGCAAATATGACCTCCTACACAGCCAGTATAGTGTTTCCTCAAAATATTTAAACTGGAACTGCCATTTGACCCAGTAATCTCACTCCTAGGAATATATCCTAAAAAGCCTGAAATACCAATCAGGAAGGGTATATGTACCCTTATGTTCATAGCAGCTCTATTTACAACAGCTATGATCTGGAAACAGCCCAAGTGTCCATCAGTAGACGAGTGGATAAAAAAAACTGTGGTACATGTACACAGTGGAATTCTATGCAGTTGAAAGAAAGATCTCTTAATCTCTGAGACAACATGGAGGGACCTGGAGAGTATTATGCTAATTAAAACAAGCCAGTCAGAGAAAGGCAAGAATCACATAATCTCACTTATTTGTGGAATATAATGAACAAAATAAACTGATGAACAGAACAGACCCAGAGTCATGTAAGTAGGGAACACACTGACAAACCTCAGAGTAATAGTGAGTGGGAGGGCAGAAAGAAATTAATCAAAGAATTGATAGGCATGTATGCACAACCAATGGACACAGACAATTGTGAAAGAAGTAGAGGAGGAGATAGGAAAGGAGAGGAGGGTGTCAATGGGGAAAAAAGGAGGCACAAGTTATTTTGCTATGCTTTGAACATTAAAAATAAACTTTTAAAAAATTAATTGTGTGTGAATTCAGGAATGTGTTCCAAATATATTTTGAAACTAAAATTGACATTTTAGAGCCCTGAAGAAGCCTAAAGAAAACATAAAAGACAGTATTTATAACCTTTATTATTTTATCCAAATATGAACCTTGACACTGTAAGTTGACTGAAAAACAAGGAATGGTACAAAATGGGTAGTATAAAAGCTCTTAGTTATTAATGTTTTCTAGGACAGCGGAGTTGATGAAGCAATAGAAGACATGCTTACTGTATACTTAATGATGGAAGAAATGGGTAAATACAACAGTGAAATGTTTGAGGATAGCCATTAGTCTGAGCTACAAACCTATTTGTATGTCAGTCCTTATGGCTGAGGGTTGTTGTACACAGGTTCTGCTAATAAGAAAAAGGACAATGCCTTGATTAACTGATTTAAAGTAGTTTTAGTTTTTTTTTCATATCTGATGAATGAAATATTCATATGTATATTAAAGAATTCTTTGTATTCAAGGAAATCTTACTTTGACATAATTAACAGCTCCTGTTCTATTTTTATGTGAAATTTACAAACCAGTATATATAAATAATCATTCACTTGATTTTTCAGCCAGAAAAGTAGACATATATATTTGACAATCAGTAAGTAAGTAAAATTCGAGATTTCACTTTAACTCACAAAGCCAAGAAAGGATTATTTGGAAATCTTGATGTCTAACACATTTATTAAATTTGCATAAAAAGTATGGTAGGACTGTAGTTCTTCTTTCCCATCTTCATTGCTATTGTTATTCCTGCTGGGAGTCTGAACTATAAGAATTCCTCAGAAATAATGCAGTTTCACATTAAAGCAAGTCATAATCTTGGTGGTGGTAGACAGTCTTGCCTTCAATATGTAGAAAACACAACACCCATGAAGCACAATAAAATGAGCTATGCCTGTAGATTTATGTTTGAAATGGTCTATTTCCAATTATTTATAGTTCATCTGATATTCTTTTCATGTCTTTGCCACTGTCATAACCTGAATCCATGATTGTTTAACTAGGTTATCTATAACTTTTGTTCACCAATATGGCCATATATTACTTACTAACTTTTGCTATGCACATTATTTATAGTCTATCCATATTCACATAATGCCATTCTTTTTTGCCCTTTTCTCTAACATACCTAGCCTCTTGACCACTGACCAATCCCAGGACTTGGGAGTCACAAGTTTCTGCTTTATTCGGGCAGTTCTTCAGGTGATGAAGCAGCTCACTATTAGAAAATTGTTTCTCACGAGCTGCCGATTCCAGTGACCTTAGCTCTTCAAAGCCTAGAGACAGAGTAAAAGTTGCCAGAGGTAGACAATGCTACCAAAAGCAGGACAAAGGAGGCTGAGAATGCTGAAACAAAAAAAACAACTTGGTGCTTGATTTTTCATCACTTACTGCATTTCTGGCCCTTCTCTACCTTCAGTGCCACTTGCACTTTATTATTGGCCCAGGAGTCAAAGGACTTGGCACAAATCTTCAGCTTATGCAGCATGGCGGGTAGCTCATCCAAGGTGTACTGACATCTGGGAAAAAAAGGGGGCAAAAAAATGCACATCTGGCTCTGCTCTGTAACCTTGTCTTTGTCCTCTTAATAGGCACCATGCTCACCGCAGGTACTGCTGGCTACTTGAGCAACTGCACAGGTCACTGATGTGGGAAAGGCAGATAAGGCCCTCTGGGCAGTCATAGCAGGCCAAAGCTGATAGGAAGCATGTTGTCTTTAACTTGATGCACTGGCGTTCATCATCTGAAAGCAGCTTGAAAACCTCTTGTTCAGCCTCCGTGATACCCTGAAGGATGTTTAACCCACATATACTGTAAAGACTAGAAGCAGGGTTGTTGACACCCCATATCAGCCAACAATGAGCCCTTCTGTGGGCTCAACTTTGTCAGGATAACTGTAGAAAAATTGGAAGAAAAAATATAAACACATACAGTCTCTATGTCTCCATTTCAAGATGTATACTTTGTGATGTAGTATAGAGTGCTTTTTGTCTTTGTCTCTCTTCCATAATCTACTTGACTAAATCTGTAAGCCCTATCTCCACCACCCACCCACCTTCTCCACCAGGGCCTTTTGTAAACATCGCTCCTCCTGTATCATTAGGAACATCTCCTTGTGGACAGCCACAGCCAGATTCAGGTCCAACTTCTCTGGAAAGGTGGCCATCTTGCAGATTCTCATGGGAGAAGACACAGTAGCGCCAGAGCTGGCAGTAGTGTTCAATACACTGACATCCAGCAGGTAGCTGCAAGTAATTTAACACTGTTTAGCTATCTGGGAATCACAGGGCTTGGTTGCTCCACAGTGACCTCTACTTTTATTACTTATGCCTGTCTATCACTCAGCCCACTGTTGTAGCTCACTGTCCTTAGAATCCAACTTGTCTTTAAGCTGCCCTAATGAACAACCTCAGAGACAGCAAGATGAACAATGGGGAATGTTATAGAGGGCTTTAGCCCCATAAAAATTAACCAGAGTTTGACCTTCACTGGGAATTTGAAAAGCAACATCCTTCAGGAAAAGGGAGGACAGAAACGGCCCCAAGGCCAGTGTCCTGCATGCTGTGTAAAGAAACTGATAGGGAGAAACTGAAGCTCCCTTTACCCCATACAACTGTAACTGTTAAACAAGTGTGTATTGCACCTGACTGACCGCTGATATCCGTCTCGAATTTGTTAGTTTTTAAAACGTGGATAATGGAATGAATAGCAGGATAGATGTATGCTGACCCAGTTCACCCAGTTCCCTTTCGCCTCAGCTCCCTCCCACCTCCGTTCCCTCCTGCTTATTGCTAATTGCCCCCGCTTCTGTACAAGCAGCTTGCTTGCTCTGCTAAACTCTTGAATGACCCCTGCCCTATATAAGCAACCCTCCCCCTGAGCTCGGGCTGCAGTTCTCCTCTGTGTAGGTTGGCTGCAGTCCCTGCGCAGGTAATAAAACATCCCCCAAAACTGAAAAATGGAGTCTGAGTGTGGCCGATCTCCTGGGTTACAACACCACCACATCCCAGACTCACCCAGTCGGCAGTGCAAAAGTTGACAGCCTCAGCAAGTTGTAGCCTTGGTTAAAGCCGTTATGGTAAATCCAAGGAAAAGTAATGACAAATTCTCCTGCACACTGATTTGTGCGAACAACATAAAGTAAGACACAGGAGTGTTTAAGTGAGCATTAATAGAATGTGGGCTTAAGATTGCCTTTGAGTCCCCTTATAGGTGTGAGGCAAAGAAAAAATATAGGCTCTATCTTCCTGCATGTGCCTTAAAGGAGACAATGACAACATGAAGTTAAAAGTAATACTGAGCCCTAGCCTGTATGGCTCAGTGATTAGAGCATAAGCACGAGGACAAAGGGTAGCAGGTTGAATCTCTGGCGCCAGTCAGGGTCATGCAGGAGGCAAACAATAAATGTATCTTTCTCATATTGATGTTTATCTTCCTCTCTATCAATGGAAAAAGAGCCTCTGGTGAGGATTAAAAATTGAACAAAAGAGTAATATTCAAAACTCTGACGTGGTGGCTCAGTTGGTTGAAGCAACGTCCCATACACAAAAAACACTTTTGGTTCAATTACTGGTCAGGGCACATATGGGAGGCAACTAATGGATGTTTCTCTCTTACACTGATGTTTTTCCATCTCAAATCAGTAAATATATCCTTGCCCTGGCCACTGTGGATCAATGCTTAGAGCATTGGCCCACAAAGTGGATTGACTGTAGGTTCAACTCCAGTCAGGGACATGTACCTAGGCTGCAGGTTCAATCCCTAAGCATGTTCAGGGAAAACCAATCAATGTGTCTCTCTCACCTGGATGTTTCTGTCTCTCCCTTTTCCTTCTTCCTTTCCATTCTAAAACTCAATGGGAAAAAAATATCCTCAGATGAGGATTAACAAAAAATAAAAATAAACATCCTCAAGAGAGGATTTAAAAAAGGAACATTTAGAGAAAGATACAAATAAAAATAACATGCAATTCAAGAAACATAAATGATCTAAAAACATGTGAAGAAAATTCTGAGTTTGTTCACTTAATAATGTAAATTTAAAAAGTCAGAATATAATGACACAAGAAATAATGAAAACTCCAAAATTTCATTGCCCTACTAAAACAATTCACATATTACAGCCATGTCATTTGAGCCGCTTTACCAGAAAAGTGTTACTTTGTACTCTCTAGGAAACCACTGCAGCCACAGCAAACAATTCCTCTCTAGCAGGACTGTGAGGGAGAGGGAACCTTGGAAATTCAGGTATGCTATTCCAAGCAAATAAAAATCAATTGTTCTCCTGTAGGAGTCTCAGAAAATTCTTTTTCTCAAGATATAATAAGAATTCCACTCCCTCAAGTACAAGGTGGGGATGAGGATTTCTCTCCATCATTAACAAAAGCATTTTCAATACTCTGTGATAGAATCACAAACTTCAAATACCAGGAGTACATTTAACAAAAAACAACAATGACAACAACAACAAAGTAACTTCTAAATTTTTGTCAAAATAACATCAACCTATCTACAACCCCTTCAGTCCAATCTCAGCATCTACAATGGGGGCAGTAATCTAAGATCCTGCTGTAACTTGCTGTGCCACATAGTGCAAACATGATCCTATATGAGAAAAAGTGAGGAGGTATGCAGGACTTGCCTTTATTTCACCTACCTCACAGTTTCCCCAAAATATAAATGGATTAAATTCCTACATTCTATTTGTTGAAAGTATATTAAGTCACAGCACTGCTATCTGTGGTAAAGGAGACTAGGTAAAAAAAAAAAGGAAAGGTAAAGGGCTACTTGAGAGTTAAGGGATCTGAAAAAGCTCCCACATATTCCTGGGAATTAAGAAGGCTAGGATAAGTCATGAGAAGACTATAAGCCCCACCTCTGGCTGACTTTCAAGTAAACAAATTACCAGAACTACCCCAAAAAGCAGCAACGGTAAGAACTGGAAGGGGTATAGTGAGTGGAATCTGCTTTCCAGACTTACCACAATATAACATTCAAACTATCCAGTTTTTAAGAAAAAATTAGGAGGCATGCAAAGAAACAAGAAAGTATGGCATATTCAATACAATTATCCATTGAGATAGCCCACTGGACTTACTGAAGAAAGACTGAAAATAAACTGTCTTTTTTTTTTTTATCCTCACCCGAGGATATTTTTCCATTTTTTGTACAGATAGAGTGGGAGGGAGAGAGAGAGAGAAACATCGACGTGAAGGGACATATCGAGTGGCTGCCACCCGCACGACCAACCAGGGCCAGGGACAAACTGCAACCGAAGTACATGCCCTTAGCGGGAACCGAACCCGGGTGTCTCTGGACCGCAGGCCGACACTCTAACCGCTGAGCCAAACTGGCCAGGGCGAAAATAAACTGTCTTAAATAGGCAAAAGTTAACTTAAGAAAAACAAAATGACACACCACAAATATAGAATCTGAATAAAGAGATAAAGATTAGAAAAAGGCAATAGAAAAGTACTCTGAAAGCTAAAATGTAGAATTGGAGTGAAATTCACTGGACAATTTAAATAAATTTGGGAAAGCAGGGAAGAATTGGTGAGCTTTAAAATAGGTCAAATAAGCCCTGGCTGGTTTGGCTCAGCAGTTAGAGTGTCAGCCTGTGGTCCAGAGAGACCTGGGTTTGGTTTCCACTAAGGGCATGGATTTCGGTTATAGTTTGTCCCTGGCCCTGGTTGAGTTGTGCGGATGTCAGCCACTCGATGTGTCCCTTTCACGTTGATCTTTCTCTCTCTCTCTCCCCCTCCCAATCCATCTGAACAAAAAGTGGAAAAATATCCTCGAGTGAATATAAAAAGATATATTGAAAAAAATAATAGTTCAAATAAGCCCTGGCTGGTGTGACTCAGTAGTTAGAGCATCAGCCAAAGCACCCAAAGACTCAAGGGTTAGATTCCCATTCAAGGCCACCAACCTGGGTTGCAGGTGTAATCCCTGGCCCCAGTGCAGAAGGCAACCAATGGATTGTCTCTCTCACAATCAATGTTTTTTCTCTACGTCCCTCTTCTCTAAGACTGATTTAAAAAAATACTGCCCTGGCCGGTTTATCTCAGTGGTTAGAGTACCATGCCACAGACCAATGAGTCTTGGGTTTGATTCTGGTCAAGGGCACATGCCTCAGTTGTGACTCATCGCTAGTCCTGGTCAGGTCTGTAAGAGGCAGCTACTCAATGTGTCCCTTTCACATTGATGTTTCTCTCTCTCCCCATCATACTCTGACTGAACAAAGGTGGAAAAATATCCTCAGGTAAGGATAAAAAAATAAATACTGAAGGTCCTTCAAACTGAAATGACGCTAGAAAGTAAACACACTAGTAAAGGTACCTAAATAGGCAAGCATTACAGCAATAATTGAATTATTTATGACCCTGTTATTTTCTTCATAAATGAAAAGTGCATGAAACAATAATTATGAAACTATGATACTGGAAAAATGTGACAATAAAAATATAAAGGAAGAGAGACAGAGCTAAATAAAACCAGTTTATTTTGTTGTGGTTTAAGTTACTATTTAAGGTAAGTTAGTGTTACTTCAAACTGGATTGTTATAAATTAAAATAGTAATTGTAATATGATGGGAACTAAGAATTATAGCAAGGACACACATTAAAAAGAACACTAGGAAAACCTCTTCATCACACACACACACAAAAGTAATGGAAGAACTGAGGAATAAAAGATATGAGATGCAGAAAACAAAGTGGAAGAAGTTCTTCCTCATTGATATTTATATTAACTTCAAAATTAAACACTCAATAAAAGCAAATATTGGCAGAAAGAAGAAAAACCATGATCCAACTATATCTTCTGTACAAGAAACTCATCTAGATGTGAAGACATAAAAGTGAATAAATGAAAAGATATATTTCATGAAAATAGTAACCAAAGGAAGCTGGGTTGGCTATATAAATATACAATATATACTTAATTGACAGGGCCTTTTACTTAATCATTTTAAGTAAAAAACTATTCTGACAAAGAAGGTCATTATATATTGATAGAAGGTTCAATTAGTGAAAAAGATGAATTAAACACAATACAGAAACATAAAACAATCAACAAAATAAAAAAATAGCTTCTAATAATTAACAAAACTGGATAAACATTTAGTAAGATGATGACAAAAGAGAAAAGACTCAACTTATTAAAAAATAAAAAGACTCAAATTATTAATCTTACAGAAGAAAATGGGTAAGAGAGTAGTGAAAGACACCAAATTATATAGTGCAGGCAAAATTCACAAATCATAGTGATAGGTATGTGTGACAGTGTGCTGAACATACATGAGAGGAGAAAAAAATTAGTAAGCAAAAATCATGAGGGAAGAAATGGTATATAAAAAAAAGAAAGATAACATTTCAGAAATGAAAGGGAGCCTCATTTCAACAGTCGTTTCAACAGATGGAAAAATATGAGGGGAGTGGACATAAAAGTGATAAAAATAGTGTAGAGGTTAACTTGGACCTTATGAAAGTTCATAAAAGAAAAAGTGTTATGAAAAGACACAGCACTTTCTATTTTTCTTATACACATTCAAATTTACTCACTCTTTTCTAAAACTGGCTGATATAAATCAATCCTGGAAATTCCTTAGTCTGACACCACTCCCAGTCCCATGGCTTTATAAAATTAGAATTTATACAGTTAACAGAAAAGCAATACAATTGAGGCTCATTAATAGCCAGCAAGCACCTGCCCCACTCTCTGGAAATCCTCTTACTCTGGACACTTGAGGGATTTTTTTCATTCAGTTGAGGGCTACAACCCAAGGCTCATCAAGTAACTGAGACTAATGGCTTATAGGCAAAAAGCAAAAGGACAACTAAACCTTTCCTGGACTTGCAAATCTACCCATGAAAGATTTGACAGTGGTGTTTAATGTTGGTCCTTCCACACTCATCCAAACCCAGTAGAGGGAGTCACAACCGGTGTAACACCAACACCCACAGGGGAAATTTGGAAGGCTCCAAAATCCACTGACAGGACCCAAATGGAGAAACAAAGAAACAAATCCCAAATAAAAGCAGAAGATAATTGGACAGAAGATGAAAATAAATAAAACAGTATTGAGCAAGACATCAGAGGGCAAGTTCACAGTAGTAATCATGACAAAGCTCAACAGC